TGCTGCTGCTGCTGCTGCTGCTGCTGGTTTTGATGCTGCTGCTGCTGCGGATGATGACATCGAGTGTGCTCGAGCTGCTGCTGCTGCGCCTGCTGCTGCTGGCGACGGTGAAGGCTGCTCTGAAGCTGATTCTGCAGAAGCAGCTGCTGCTGCTGCTGCTGTGACAGCAGCAGCAGCAGCAGCAGCAGCTGGGGGACTCCGCTTTTTGGGCCTGCAGCTGTCTTCTGCCGCTGCCGATGCAGCAGCAGCAGCAGCAGCGGCCCCAGAACTAAGAGAACCATTGGTTGCTGCTAGAGGCTGTGCTGCAGCTGCTTCCGCGAGTAGCCGTTGCTGCTGCAGCTGCATCTGCTGCTGCTGCAGTTGGTGCTGCTGCTGCTGCAGTTGCTGCTGCAGCAGCTGCAGTAGCAGCAGCTGGTGACGCACACGCAGCTTGACGGGGCCCATCCCCCTATTTGCTGCTGCTCTCCTTCGAAGCAACTTGGGGGCCCTTTTACTTTCTTTGCTGAGGGGCCCCTCAACGCGGTGGGGTTGTTGTACTATCCCTATTATGCATTTGTTGCTGCTGCTGCTGCTGCTGCAGTCGCTGCTGCTGCTGGGTGCTAGAGAGTTCGTAGTCAGCTTCCCACTGCAGCAGCGTGTTACTGATTTTTCAGCAGGCAGCGCTGTTGCTGCTACTGCTGCTGCGGACATTGCTTCTGCTGCTTTTGCTGCTGCTGATGTAGTTGCTTCTGCGTTTGCTGCTTGTAGTACTGCTGCTGCTGCTGCTCGTGTCCCTGTCGACGAGGCCTCTGCTTCTGCTGTTGCTGCTGCTGCTGCTTCTGCTGCTGCTGCAGCAGGCTCAGCGCTGCTAGAGTGCATGTTTGTCACGCTGACTGAAGGCCCGCTTTTGCTGCTAGTTTCTGTGGGCAGCAGCAGCCGCTGCCGATGCTGCTGCTGCTGTTCTTGCGGCTGCTGCTGCTGGCCAGCGCAGCTCACTAACACAGCAGCAGCAGCAGCAGCCACAGTGTCGGCTTGCTGGTGCTTTTTGTAATTCAAAAAATATCCAGGGCGAGAGACACTACGGACCTTACGAGGTAATTCTGCAGCAGCTGCTGCTGCAGAAGGAGCTGCAGCTGCTGATGTTTCTGCTGCTGCAGCTGCTGCAGCTGCAGCAGGAGCTGCAGCTGCTGATGTTTCTGCTGATGCAGCTGCTGCTGCTGCTGCAGCAGGAGCTGCAGCTGCTGATGTTTCTGGTGCTCCAGCTGCTGACATTTTTGCTGCTGCTGCTGCTGCACCAGAGGTGCCTGCTGCCACCTGAGAGGCATTTGGAGGGCCTTTTGCTGCTGCTGCTGCTGCTGCTACTCCAGGCTCGCCCGCCCTCGACTGCGACCGCTGCGGCTGTTGCTGCTGCCGTTCTTGTTGCTGCTGCTTTTGCTGCTGCTGCTGCTGCTGTTCTTGTTGCTGCTGCTTTTGCTGCTGCTGCTGCTGCTGCTGCTCGCGGGGCAAGCAGCCTGTGGAGACAGCCGACAACCTCCGAGGCTTTAATTTGAGAACAGCAGGCAAAGCTAGGGGCTGCTGCTGCTGCTGCTGCAGTTGCTGTTCGTGGTGCAGCTGCTTTTTGTTGTTGCTGCTGCTGTTGCTGGTCTTGCTGCTGATGCTGCTGTGCCCGCCGCGCAGCACCCTCTGGGTGTCCACTCTGGGAGACCCCGCAGGTAGCTCGCAGCTCTCGTTGCAGCTGCTGCTGCAGCTGCTGCTGTTGCTGCTGCCGCTGCTGCTGCTGCCGCAGCTGTTGTCATGCGTCCTCTGATATTCACACATGCCCTGCCTCTTGCTGCTGCTGCTCCGAAGTGGCGAGCCTTCCATTCGTTCCTTGCTGCTGCTGCTGCTACTGCCCTTGCTGCTGAACACTCCAGCAACTGTCTCAGGAAGCTGTTGTGGCCTTTGCTGCATCTGCTGCTGCTGCTGCTGCATTTGCTGTCGCTCTGCCAAGTTTTTCGCTCTGTAAGCGGCTATGAGGCGGAGCGCCTGCGTGGTTCCTTTTGTGTGTGTTGCTGCTGCTGCTGCTGCTGCTGCTGCTGCTGCAGCTCTTTTCAAATCTGGCGGCGCTTCTGGCCCAACGTTTGTTGGAGCTGATGCTGCAGTTGCTGCTGCTGCAGCAGCAGCTTCTGATCGTTTTGCAACGGGCAAGAAAGCTCTCTTAGCCGTAGGCTCCGCAGCAGCAGCAACAGCAAGAGAGGCTGCAGCAGCAGCAGGTGGCAGCATATCAGCAGCAAGGGAAGCAGCAGACTCTCCTTGAGAAGCAGCAGCATCAGCAAGGGGCAACATTGCGGCACCTGCCTCCCCACCTGCAGTGCGAGACGCTGCTGCTCCTGCTGCTGCTGCAGCTGCTGCTGCTGCTGCCGGCGGGGTCCCATAAAGAGCTCCTGCAGCAGCAACTCGTGCTGCAGCAGCAGGATATCTTTCTGCAGCACCAACAGGAGAGTTTGCTGCTGCAGCAGCAGGATATCTTGCTGCAGCATCTTTTGCTGCGTTTATCACTCCACGAAAACTATCTCCTTTTTGCCGCCCGCTTTTGCTTCTCAAATGACTGTCGTGCTGCTGCTGCTGCTGCAGTACTTTAGACACTGAGCTGTCAGCAGCAGCAGCAGCAGCAGCAGCA